TGGGGGGTGGGGGGGGAGGGGATGAAGAAGGTGGGGGGGAAACACCAGTGCGGAAAACGTTAACATCTGGGGTATACAGGAGTTCCTTGTGTTGTTTTGCACATTTCCTCAAAGGCTCGTATTATATCAAAATTAAAAGCTTTTAGAAAATACATTTACGACTCCAGACACACATAAATATATTACTAGTTGAAACAAACGTTTCATCAAACAAGATTTACCTCAACTATATGACTTGCATTCTGACTTTTTTTTTTTTCATGCTAATCTCCATCTACCACATCAGAGGTCTCCAACTGGAGGAGGCGCTTTTGTCCCTCAGGGGACATTTGGCAATGTCCAGAGACTTTTTCAGTTGTCACCACTGGGAAGTGCCACTGACATCTTGTGGGTAAAGTTTGGGTATGCAGCTAAACACCCTACAATGCACAAGACAGCCCCCATAACAAACAATTATGTGGTCGAAAATGTCAGTAGTGCTGAGGTTAAGTAACCTTTGTCTATGACCTATGAATGAGTCAAAAGCTACAAATGGAGGGCCGGCCCGGTGGCGCACTGGATAGTGCGCCGCTTGGGAAGAGCGGTGGCGCTCCCGCCCGAGGGTTCGGATCCCACATACGGACCGGTTCCTGCTCACTGGCTGAGCGAGGCGCGGGAGCAACACCGAGGGTTGCGATCCCGTTGCCGGTCCCCGGTCCGGTACGGGGGCAACATTGAGGGTTGCGATCCATTGCCGGACACGGAAAAAGACAAAAGACAAAAAAAAAAAAAAAGCTACAAATGGGGGCCCGGCCCGGTGGCGCCCTGGGTAGTGCGCCGCTTGGGAAGAGCGGTGGCGCTCCCGCCCGAGGGTTCGGATCCCACATACGGACCGGTTCCTGCTCACTGGCTGAGCGAGGCGCGGGAGCAACACCGAGGGTTGCGATCCCGTTGCCGGTCCCCGGTCCGGTACGGGGGCAACATTGAGGGTTGCGATCCATTGCCGGACACGGAAAAAGACAAAAGACAAAAAAAAAAAAAAAAAGCTACAAATGGAAAAACACTGCCCTCAAAACTCTGGCTAGCCAACTCCCCTAGAAACCAACTGGCAGAAGTGACTGCCTGCAGGGAGGACCCAGAAACAATCTTGCACTGGGGGCAGCCCCTACAGGCATCAGGCTGTAGATCAGGAACAAGAGGAGAGTTGGACAGAAACAGACCTACCAGATAAGTAGGCTGGGCAGCCTGACCTTCCAGGGTATGGGGTAGGGACTGGTGTGACTCTCTCTGACAGTCAGGCAGCAGGCAGCCTGAGCCCTAGGCCAGGGTGGTAATTCCTCAACAGCTGCTGGGGCAGGGCTAGGCTGGATGAACTGAACTTATTTTTAAAAGGTATCCAAGATGACTGACAAGGGTGTACAGAAAGTTCCTAGAAGTCACTGCCAACTTACAATGGCTTGACCGGGACCCTCCCTGAATTTAACACCCACAAAGGGGCAGCCAAAAGTTGAATATATAAGCCCCTAATGACTGATAAAGACACGGACATCAGCGATGGAAGTCACAAAGAAAGCAGCTCCATTCTCACCGTTCACCTGTACTTCAAGCCTCCCAAAGAGATTCATGCACATCAAATCAGCAAATTGTGCAGGCAGACAGATTGTTTGCTCTTTGGAGGCCTTTAAAATAATGACGATGAACAGGGAGATTTACCAGAATATAAGGCAGTATCTTCCCTCCAAATTTCCTTGGAGTTGTATTATAAGGCATCTTGGCCAGAACACTCCAAACAGAAAAAGTCCGCAAATAAATGGAAATACTCTAGTGTTTTATGTTGGGTTTCACAAACTTATTCATTGATTATTGTGATCAATTTGTGTATTTGTTAGTGTATTAATCCGTTTTGTGTTGCTATAACAGAATTACCTGAGACTGCGTAATTTTTTTTTTTTTTTAAAAAGATGACCAGTAAGGGGATCTTAACCCTTGACTTGGTGTTGTCAGCACCACGCT